TTCAGCCCCACCTTTGTTTCCTGTTCCTGTGTAAGAAATGTATTCTGATTGGTTATCAGACTCCCATGGGGCCATGCAAGGGCAACTCTCTAGGCTATGTTTTGAATCCAGGTTTGGTTGAGTTCTCAGATGCTATGTGGTGAGTTGGGTAAAGGGCTAATACTATCATGCCTTAATCCCATCCCCCTGGAGCTGAACGGGAGAACTCTTAAGAATAGACTGGCTTGGACATCTTAATGGCCCATTGGCAAAGGGTGATGGGCAGGGGGCTACTTTGTCTTTAAAACATGTTTCTCCCTTTTCACATCCAGAGAAATATAATATTCTGCCTTTTCAATATTTCCTAGGATATTTCATTCTTCTAGGAGAGGGATGGGCTTTAACTTCCTGCAACACGACCCCAGGATTCTGGAAGCATCATACATCTGAACCAATTGCCAAGCATTCAAATTTTGATCATATGACCAAGTCTGAAAATCACTCATAAATCACTTTTTCCAGTACTATTGTAACTCTGAATAGTCACTAAACAAAATGGTTGTAAGTCAAGGACTACTGCTAAATTAATGGTTGTAAGACAGGCAAGAAATTATTCACTCATTATTTATTATCCTCCAGCACTCCCATGATAAATGGGGCATTTTATTTTCTTTCATAATTTTATCCCCTGCCCTTCAAAAAAAAAGGCATTTGTTGAGTGAAGTCAAGATTGGTTTCAAGCTCCTTCTATGCTGTTCTACCTCTGCTATTTCTTTTTTGGATTTAGATAATGAAACCTCAAGGAAATGAGGCTTCATTTTTTACAGTGGTGATAACTTCAGAAATATATCGCACACAAAGGACTACAGCAATAACATTCAATTACACCATATTGTATTGTATATAAAAAAACCTATCCATTCACATGCTAATTTTGATAAAGTATCGGATGTAAATATATTAACCTTTTCATAGTTCAGAAAAGAAATGTCAATAAAAGGACAATGACAACCCTGGAGAATATCCAAAGAAGAACAACCAATTATCATAAAGGAAGGCACTGGAGTAAGAAAGGTATGAGAAACAGTTGCCTAAAGGTTTAGGCTGGGAAAGAGAAAATGGCAGGCAAACATGATAGTTGTCTTCAAATATCCGAAGGACTGTAATGTTGAACGTGAAACTGGCTTGTTTTAGAGTTGCTGCAAAATATACAGTATCTTAAGAAACAATTAATGTAAACTATAAGGAAGATGATTTTGATTTAATGTCAGGAAACATTTCACAACAGTAAGAATTTTTTAGTAATGGAACAGATGGTGACTTCAAATAATTTGTTGTTTTTAGTTGCAAAGTCGTGTCCGACCCATCGTGACCCCATGGACAACGTTCCTCCAGGCCTTCCTGTCCTCTACCATCCTCTGGAGTCCATATAAGCTCACGCCTATTGCTTCAGTGACTCCATCCAGCCACCTCATTCTCTGTTATCCCCTTCTTCTTTTGCCCTCAGTCTTTCCCAACAGTAGGCTCTTCTCCAGTGAGTCCTTCCTTCTCAATAGGCGGCCAAAGTATTTGAGTTTCATCTTCAGGATCTGGCCTTCTAAAGAGCAGTCAGGGTTGATCTNTTGTAGTTGTCTACTATGTTGTTGTGGTTTACTATCAGGGAATGCTGGGACAGAATAGGTCTTCAATTTAATCTAGTGGAATTCCTTTTCATATGTGAAACTGTCAATTTAGACATTTTGTAGAGTCTTCAGGAAAGAGGGGAAATATTTATGTATGGGATATCTGGACCTGGGTAAACACTGTAAGAAATTACCTCTTATATAAGAAACAAATACTAGATTTTATTCAGACTATTTTTCATCTGCATAAATTAAATTTGCTCAATATAGATTAAATGAAGAGAGCAAAGTGTAATGCATGAATGACATGTTTACTGCCAAACATGCCTTCAATTGTCTTAAATTAACATTTTACTAAATCTCTTTTCCAGATCCTGCACAAAGTGAACTAATGGCAGAGCCTCATATGATGGTTGAACATAAACTTGGTTTATTATAATACTTACACATTACAGCTTTTTCTGTTTTTCTAAACATTCTTACCTGTGTCTGTGAGGGTTGAAATAAACTATATTAAATGAAAGTGAAACTATACTTATTTTGATATGCAGTTTCTCAGCAACTCAGTGGAAAAAAGCACAATGAACGTTAGAAGTAGCCTGTTCTGTGTTAATGCCAAATGTCTTATGAATTAGATTTTTAAAAAAAGGATATATGATTATATCCAACATTACAGTGACTCATATTTATAGTTAGAGAAGGCCACACATCAAAATATATTCAGAAACAGGAAAATATGAAACTGGTAGGGTTAGAAAATCTTTGCAGAAGAACTTTTTGCAATTTTAAAGCAAGAGATTTGCTGTTAATTTTTCTTTGCTCCTGATGGTTGATGTCTTTTAAACAATAAATAACATTTTCAATAAGCCTTGGGACTTTTTCTGAGTGTTCAATAGCATCTTCAAAATTGTTTACCCCAAGCAGGACTTGTTTTTGTTAGNGCAATTATTGCAAAGTTTGAAGTCTCAGGTGCACAGAATTTAATTGTATTAAAATGAACAATGCCTGTCTACAATAATAGCTTTCTTCTATTTAAGAATACCAGAGGGCTTGGATCTCAGCTGAAGGACTGCATTTCAGTTCCTGATTTCTCAACTAGTGGAACATTTGAAAGCCATGATGTGATGCACAGAGGGTAAGTACCAGAGGTTTATAGAAATATCAAGGTGAAAATTCCTGTGTAATCAGATCAAATCATAATGATCACAAATGCTTCTGCCTGACCTTTGTGTACTTTTGTGAAAAATAGTGTGGAAATAGTTTATTCCCAAGCTCCAGTCAATCTTTATTTTTCTTTGCTTGCAATAAACAAACTTAAATCTATTTGGATATGCCAGATTTTCAGTCATTTAGTATAGCTATAACTTCAACTCCTTAATAGAAGTGTTCAAGATCAAGATAGCAAACCATCTTCAACTTTCAAAGGAATGGAGTCCATTTGTCACTTGTGGGCTGGATACTTCCTTTTCCAAATATCACTCTACCTTATTCTTACAGTAAAAAATATTTAATAACTTTTAGAACTTAAATCCAGTTATCCAGTTCTAATAAATACTTAATATATAGATTATTTCCACAGAATTATGGTCCTAAGACATTCTCCAGAATGCTTCCAACTTGTTTAGGTAAAGGAACCAATTCATTTTCTTGAATCGGGTGAAAAGTTCCTTCTATTAGTAGTAGATAGCTACAATTTTCCATCACCTTGTTGTCTGGGAAAAGGGGTCTATGCAAGTGTGTATAGTTTTACCATGCTGGAAATGAGTGAGACTTCTGTGAAAGAAAATTTTGAAGCTGACTCCCTTTGTTACCAGACTGGTAGCAAAAACATTTGTATGACTCTACAAATATAAAGCTCATTTTGTCTTACTAGTTCTGTAGCACTGTCTCTTTGGAATTATTTTACCTTTGAGTAACCAAATCATTGTGGCATATATGTGTCTGCAAAGGTTTGATAGCAGTTTAGTGGTAAAATAAGTGAATGACTAGGCTACTGAATATTTGGAATCACACACCATGTTATTTTATAAAATAACATTGACTGCGTTCATATAGTACTTGCAACTGCATGTCACAGAGAACTCTGGAGTGGTCAGCCTAGTTTTCAGGCATATTATCTACTGTGGAAATACTCATGCCTCATTTTTCTCTCACGATAGATACACTGTAATGCTAACTGAGAAGTGATAGAGAAGGTCACTTAAGAGTAAGCAAATAAAATTGTATTTGAGGAACTCAGTGAGACAAAAGTGTCAATCGGTGAAGCTGCCTCTTAAAAAACAGTTGCCCCAGTCAGCCAGTGTGGGGGCATGAAAGAACTCTGGGCTTTGACATCAGCTTCCACACAGCTTTTTCATCCTGCTTTTTTGGAGATGAAAGATGCTGTCTTATTTAGCAAATAAAAAAGAATTAAAAAAGAGTAAGCAAAACAAGGCTTAAATCTTAAATATTATCAGTCATGGGGGAGGGTGGAAATCCTTCAGTTGTATTCCTATAGTTTTCTTGGCAAGGTTTTCAGAATCGGCTTGCCTTTGCAAGCTTCCTAGAGCTGAGAGAAAGTGAGTAGCCCAAAGTCACCCAGATGTCTTTGTGCTTAAGGCGGGATAAGAACCTATAGTTTCCTGGTTTCTAACCTGATGCCTTAACCACTACATCAAACTGGTTAAGGGAAAAATAAGTCAAGTAGTGCTTGACTTATGACTACAATTGGGACCAGAATTTCTGTTGTTAAGCATTGTTGTTGTTAATTGGTTGTTAAGCAAGTTGTGCTGGATTTTACAAACTTTTCTTGCCACCGTCAAAGGAAATCACTGAAGTTGTTAAATGAATCATATGGTTGTTAAGCAAGTTGTGCTGGATTTTACAAACTTTTCTTGCCACCGTCAAAGGAAATCACTGAAGTTGTTAAATGAATCATATGGTTGTTAAGCAAATCCAGCCTCCA